TACTGTGCATGATGTCCTATGGTATGGAATATCCCTTGGGTCGGTTTGGGTCACCTGTCCCAGCTGTGTCTTCTCCCCATCTCCTATGCACCCCCAACTCCTTGCCAGCATGGCAGTATGAGAAAAGGCCAGGCCTTGGCTCTGTGTAAGCTCTGCTCAGCAACAACAAAAACATCTCTGTTATCATCACTGTTTCCAGCACAAATCCAAAGCATAGCCCCAGACTAGCCACTGTGAAGAAAATTGACTCTACCCCAGCCCAAACCAGCATGTTAGGTAAATTATCAAGGGCAACATTTGCCAAGTTTTGAATGTGTTTGTTGTAATCAAAGGTTTGGAATTTTGTTTGCGATTCTGGCAGTACTAAGGAGTAAAGAAAGTCTTATCTTGGCCAAAGTGAAAAAAAAAAAAAGGAATGAATAAAATGTGAGTGAAACCCATAATGCTGTCCATTAGCAAAATTGGCTTTAATTATAGAACATTTCAATTAAAAGAGAATGTTTGAAGCCTTTCATGTTGCCGTAGCTCATTTCAGTCTAAGTCTTTTCTTTGTTCTTCTTCCTGAAATTTCCTTCAAATATTCCACTGATTTTACCCTTAATCCTAGAAAGAAGAAAGGGTCGAGGTTCATTTTGCACTATTTGCTATTTGGTTTTTGTCGGGTGCTGTGAGAGAAGTCAGAATGTTGCTTGTATCAGAAAATAGCCATCAATGCATAACCTACAAGTGTATGATGATTGCTTTAGTATTTTATTACAGTGTATTAGAGCTGTCGTAGAAGTATTTGTATATTTAAAAGCAAAATAATGTGTGACTTTGTTCCTAATGCCACTTGACGAGATGAGGATTTTTCTTAAATATGTACTGCTGCATAACAAGTTCTGAAGATTTGGAGATTTTAATTAGTTACTTTTAACTTGTTCTCAATGGCAGAGCACATTGCCAAGGCTATTCTTATAGCTCCAGGTGACATGTAATTTCCCCATCATATGTCCTCTTGCATGAAGTGGGAGGAAAGTCGGAGAGGAAAAATTATACTTGCAAGAGTAGTTCTGTTACAGCCAGAGATCAGTCTCACATTGCTGGCAGTGTTGACTTCCCTTCCTTCTGATTGGTTTTTGTACTCCATATTCAGCAATGTGGAATCATCAAGGTTGGAAGAGACCTTTAAGATCAAGTCCAGCCATTAACCTGTCACTCCATTGTAAGCCCTAAACCATAGGCCATGTACCTGGAGTGAACACTTCATTTCAATTTTTAAGCAAAAAGAAACATAAGGAAAGGGACAAAAGATGCTTCTCACCTTTTCTCTCTTACTTTAGTTCAGCAACATTTCTGCATTTGACCATTTACTTCTGAGAGAAGTATGGATCAAAAAGCCAAGTAAATCAAAGCGAATGAGCAGTTAGAGGTGCAGTAAATGAGTATACATGTATGTACACTTTGAAAGGTTTATTCTCATGAAGAAAGAAAGAAAACTGTGTTTGCCATGAGTGTTTGCCTTTCAGACAGGTCAGTGATCAGCTTCTCACTTTGCAGAACTCTTCAGCTGCAAAATGAATAAGTGAGGTCTTACAGTACCTTTTAACACAATCATCTACTAGTATTTGGTTAGCACAAAACCAACACAACCTTTTCTTCTTGTGGTCCCACTTCCTATTTTCTTCTGTACCCCTGCACTCTTCTGCTTCAGCACTTACAGTGCACAGGGATGTCTGATGGTTAGTTCTGGAAATTTCCATGCAAAGGACAGGAATT